GGTTGAATCAATGCATTGAACATAGAAACCAAATTACAACACGTTTCATTAAAATCTATCGTACCATTATCCCGATATTTCAAAAAAGATCATTGATTAATCAACTAAAAGTTAGATCGTCTTCTGTTAATCCAAATAATATCCCAGTATCCTTTTAGTCTCGTGCTTGAGGAACCACCGACCGGAAATCACCGTTCAAGTAAAAAAGGTATAGTATTATAATCTAATCGTAGATAATTCCCAACGTTTCACCCAGTTTCTAAGGTAATAAAAGCCATAGCCATATAATTCGAGGTGCCGTGGGGCCCTCCCTCCATCAAGAAGTTCTTCCCGGTTGAATTTCTGAATTGAAAACCTGCCATATTTTTCCCCGTGTAAATTATCACTGTTCTAGTCGAACTTTAGTCTGTCATGTTTTAGTCACATTCTCACAACATTCCATTAGCGTTCTATGAGGTTCCGCGCTGCCTGCAGTAATAGAAAACACCGTGTTTGTGTGTTGGCTAATCCTGCCGGCCATTTCGCCCGTTATGTTCTGAGAATTTCCGCCTGGCCCTCGGACCGTCGTTGCCTCGAGAAGTTAGCGTGCGTGTGATCTCGGGCGGTTATCCTGGTCTCATCCTGCCGGCCATTGGCCCGTTATGAGCTCAGGGTGTGCGCTTGGTTCACTGATGTCCACGGTTTTCGAGGGCTTGGTGTGCTGGGGTCCGTACGTTTCCATTCTGGCCTCATCCTGGTGGCCACTCGCCCGCTATGAGCTCAGAATGGATGCCGGTCTTTAGATCTCGACCGTTTCCTAAACCTTTGTCTATGTTCGACCCGATTTTCTGCAAATAATAAGATCTTAATGGCTGAGTCATGGTCAGCCAGAGAGGGCAAAGTTTTCCTATACGTTCGACGTTCCAATAGAGTGCAAACTAAAACGACCACACTAAAGAACCTAATTCCACTGTAAATTGAACCACCAGTAACTTCACTGTCCAGTTATTACTGTGATCCTATGGCATTCGTTACCCTACCAGCCAATACTGAATCGGTCGACGCCAGCAGCTAGACCGAGATTAAATAATCGAGGGCCCGAAAATGTGGGGAATGAACGCGAAAACTCCCCCTCCCTCCCGATCTCTAAAGTTCTACTGTTGTCCAATTCATTCCGAGTAGAAATTCCCACAATTGCGTCGATTTATGATTTCGAATCAAACCCGCATTAACATGACCCGCCGGTAACAAATATGATTACGTAATAATACGACCATTCACCACCATCGAATTTTCATACTTCACATAGTAACGACCGCCCCGTTATCCACCCCTTCTTCCACTTTATTGTGGTTTGATTTTGTATAGTTTAAGGTCGGAAATCTTTCTTTTTCGTTAAATGTAGAATGTTTAGTTAGGGCCATCCATCTTATTTTACTTTGTGAAATGTAAAAGCGCCTGCCTTGTTTGGGACGTTACCAATCATGTTCATTTTCATGTATTATGCTAAAAAGAGCATTTGTTGATTAACTGTATTTAATTCTGCCCCCTGCGTATTGACCCATGGGTTTTTCTTTCTCTACTGTATAAAGGCTACCCTCGCTGTGGAGCCATCACCACATAAATCCTTACTTATACCAGTAATTAACTCCAGAATCGCCATTACAAAATTGGAGCCACGAACGGGACGTAGTTCCCGATTTCACCATTTTCCAGGAGTGCCATTACAAAAATGGCACCCCATCAGGGATGTAGTTTCCGATTTCACCATTTACCGGAGTGCCATTAAAATTTTACTTAAGGCTAAGCGATATGCAATCTTCTACTTTTAATGTTGAGCTATGAGTATATACAGGGTTATTCACCCTATACGGCACGGAAGTTTGCGGCTAAACCGTTTGATTTTTAAAAAGTATTATTTTATGAATTGTCCGACGCCTACCGAGCGCACATTTTAAAAA